ATATGTTATGTTAAGTTTTTTTTTTTTTTTTGTTTCTTTGTTTGGACTTTACAGTATTATTTAGTAATGTTAGCTACATGCTAACTTTTTTTAAAAAAAATTTTATTGGTGAAAAGTCTATTATGTCACTCTCTGCTATCTTATTAGTTAAAATTTGAAGGAATTTAGGCATAGGTTTTCTACAGCATTTGGGGGAATATGTTGAGAGATAGATGAAAAGGAGAGTCATTTTTATTTGATTGGGTGGCACCACATGTAGAATGGTGGTTCCCACTTGTTAGCATGGGTGGAAAAAAATTGTTAAACAAATGCATTAATTGTAATCAATTAGGAATTAACGGTCAGCAATGATGACAACATGAACAGCGTCAGGAAAAGGATAACAATGAACCAAAAAAAAGGAGTAAAGGGACGACGTTTGGCTCTTTGGTGGAGTAGAGGGATGGCAATGAACAAATCCATAGTAGAGGGGTGAGAATGAATAAAATTTCAAAGTACAGAGACAACAATTGGCTTTAAACCAAGGAAATTTGAACCTTTATTAAACAAATAGGAGAAAACAATTTCTATAAAAGTTTTTGAGAATGTTCCAAACATCAAAATATAATTTTAATTTTGCGTTTGTATGCATTTTTGTATTTATAATACTACTATTTTTATAATATTACCTCATTCAAATTAGCCTAATAATTTTCTTATCAACAAAATTCTATTCCTCATACAAAATATTATATGAAGTAAATTCATTTGGGTGAAGGGCACTATAAAGTATAAACTACAATTGGGCCATTGGGAACTTATAGTGTTTGAAGTGAAGAGATCATTAAAGATATTTTTTAAACTCTAGAGGTTTGATGTTGAAATTTTGGGAAAAGAAAGCGTTAAAGCTAGGTCTGGTCCCTCTACCTTGTTTTTAGTTCATCAACATCCTTGCACTTAGGAATCAATCATTTTGGTCCTTCTACTTGCTTTTAAGGTTCATTGGGGTCCCTCTATTCTAGAAAAGCTTGCTATTAGGGTCCTTTTACCATGACGCTGTCAGTGAAGTGGCACTAACAGATTTTTCCATTATCTTTTGACATTTAACGTTTAAATATTAAAGGATAGTGTAGAGTAGGTCATTTATTTTTTTGAAAATTTAAATGTTACATTAATGATTGTAATTTTGAAATTAGTAGTTGAGAATTAGTGTAACAATTACACTTATGTAAGTTGATCCTATATGTTTAATTTTTGAAAAATAAAAAATTTAAGGGGACTATAGGTATCACATTGTTAACATCCCATTTTCTCCCAGGTTTACATTCCCCCTCCCTCCCCCCAACCCCCCAAGATTATAAATTTATCACAATTTAAATTAAGAAAAAAATGCACAGTAATTCCATCTCTTTAAAATTAAGAGTTGAAAAATTCAAAATTATGTCATTTTAACAAATGACTATTGATAACTAAAATAATCTATTTTGAGAAAAAAAAAAAGAGAGAATATTTTAATTTTTGTCAATTAATATTTATTAAAATAACATAATTTTGGATTTTTGAACTCCCAATATTTTAAAATTTTTTAAAAGGTAAAATTAACTACCGCTATATATCCTTATTTTTTAAATTAGATATGTTTAATATATTATAATTTACGTCTTTGATCTCATAATAGTTAATCTTTTTAACTAGATATCTATCCTTGATTAAATATGGTCTTTACATTGTCTTTTAAGATGCATCAATTTTTTTCTTTTTTTTCACTTAACTTTATAGTTAAATCTCATACTTCGTATTTACAAATTTGGGTGCATAATTTAAAAGCTACTATTGTTTTGAGATGAATGGAGTGAAGAAAAGGAAGATGTCAACATTGAATTCATCTAGTTAGATTAATTGAACTTTATTTTTTTTCCTATTGTTGCATAAAGTTTTGCAAGATTTTAAAATGATGACTATTTTTACAAAACTAAGAGAATCAATTGTAATATATTGATAATTGTCACTGGAAAAAACGATCATTGTCTAATTTAATTTATAGTGTAATTTAATTATATAGTATTTTTTAAATTAAAGTTAAAAAGTTAAAAAGTTAATAAATAAAAAATAGATCAAAAAATAATTCCCTTGAACTAAAAAAGTTATAATTACCACCATGGAAGATTTCATTCACCAATCATCAAATGCCAATCATTTTTCAAGTCATCACGTTAGTGGTGATCGATGGGTTCGTAGAGGGAAGAGTTGGGAAAATAAGATGTTAATGGGTGTGGTGGTTATGGGTCTCACTGTAGAAATGAAAATATAAAAATAAATATTTAAATCCCAAAATCAAGTGTAACAGAAAAACTGCGTCATAGTAAGGATCCCAACAACAAGATTTTCTTGAGTAAAGGGACCCTAACGAACAATTCCTAAGGACGATAATGAATGAAAGCACAAAGTCGAAGGACCATAGTTGGATTTAACCCAAAAAGAAATAGTATGTCATGACAGGTAACTCTCAAATGACAAGTTACCTGAAATTGAATTTAAAATTTTCAATTTTAAATGATTTGGCTATGCTATAAAATTGAGAAATCTTTATGAGTCTCTCAACTTATTCTATAGCCCTACTTTTATCAATTGTATTCTTTTGTGTAGGCAAAACGAGGAAAATCAAACAAAAAGAAAATGACAAAGGAAGGGACCTAAAAATTCTTCGAAGTCTTAAATCCTTATGGTCAATGAATGCTTCAAGGTACCCACATGAAGCACATGTTCTCCCAGTGCAACTTTTCTGCTTCCAACCTCATCAGTCACGCTCAAGTCCTTGCAAGCATCCACCTTGAATCTCACGATCGCTTCCCCTTTTCCTTTCAAGAAAACTTTCTCAAAACTTATCAAGTGCTTCTGAGGAGAGTTGTGCACGGATGGGGGACTAGAGAACAAGAAAACTGTATGGCTTCCGCTTATTAATCCTGTGTTTTGAACTTTCATGTGTATATCGAAAATTGAATTTTGACAATGCTGTTCAAAGGCGTCAACCGATTTGCAATCTGATGAGCGGCAAACATGATCTTCCTCCAGGGGGAACGATACCAATTTCGGTGCCTTAACTAATTGGTGATTGAATGTGGAATAGCTTAATCCATCTCCAAACGAATAGACAGTATCGCCGGTATAAAATCTGTAAGTCCTACCAGGATAGCCATTAGCAGGATCTGGTCTCATTTTCATGTTTGTCATTGGAACTTTGTCAACATATGATTGTGGATACCATGTCATTGGCAATCTTCCACCTGAAACAATTATAATTATCAATTACTCAATTTTTTTTCGCATATGAAACTTGAAAAAGAATGTTGGAAAGCTTACTTGGATTATAATAGCCAAAAATAACATCAGCAATTGCAGCTCCTCCAGCTTCGCCAGGGTAACCAACCCAAAGTATGCTTGTGACTTTACTATCATTCTTCGCGAATGTTATGTCAAAACCTCCTCCAGACATTATAACTAGAATCACTGGTCCCTTAGCGACTTTTGCAACTTCTGTTATTAGAACTGGTTGTTGTCCTGGTAATAAAAGATCAACCCGGTCAAGAGTCTCCTTCTCAATGGATTGATCTACACCCATTACGAGCACAGTGGCATCAGCTGAGGCAGCAATTTTCTTTGCATTATCTATATCTGCACTATTGCAGGCCACATTTGAGCAGCCAAGCTGATATGTTGTTGCAACGGAAGCTGTTAAGCCTTGCAAAGGAGTTGTATATTTGCACGGCATGCCTATAAAATTCACAAGTTCAATTAAGAAATTGCTAGGAATTGTTTCGAGATTGAGAAATATGTAATATAGATAAACGTACCTTCATAGTTTCCAATCATGGTTTTAGTGACATTAGCATTTGGTCCAATGACTGCCAGCGTTTTGATGGTAGTTGGGGACAGAGGCAATGATCCTTTTATGTTCTTGAGCAATACTATCCCTTGCCTTGCTGCTTCTCGAGCCAGCTCTTGGTTCTCTTGAGTGCACACATCTTTTGGACCAAGCTTTCCATAAGGCCCTTTGCTGGGGTTACCATCAAAAAAACCCAACCGCATCAATGTGGCAAAATTGTTAGAAATTGCCTTATCAATGTCTGATTCAACTAACAATCCTCCTTTCACTGCAGCCTCAGTGTATTGGCCAAGGAACGATCCACAATTCAAATCTAGCCCTGAAACGTTCAAAATATTAATTGAAAAAAATATATTTATACCCATGTTAGCTAGCTAGAAAGTCAAAAAGCAAATTTCAGTAATACTTTCTTTCCCTATTGTGATGTTTCCATTCATGTCCAATTTCTCAATTTTCATTTATCTTAACTAAGTCTGTAATGTCACTCTCTCATTCCACAAAGGTCTTTTACAGCCAATTCTCAACTAACATGTGAAGGCAATTACATCATGGGTCTAGATGGTACCACATATAGAGGTCTTACGAATGCTTATGTATTCCCCTAGTGTTCTCATTCCGCAAAAGAGCTTTACCTGGGAAAACTTTTTCCAAAAGGAGAGGAGAGATTGATGTAAACAAGGCAAAAGGTAATGTATTTCTGTCAAAGGCTAACGGTGAGACTTGATGTATGGGCTTTGTAAATATGAGTTGCTTATATTAGGGATTAAATGTAAAAAACAAAACCTTGAGAATAAATTGAAGCACCATAAAGAGATTAAGGACGAACCGAAAACTTCACTCAGGGTTAGGATTGAGTGTGGCTCAAGGGCCATTCAGTTTCAAAGATTGTATTGACATAAATAATTATTCCCTACTGACCGTTCGAACTCTATTAATAGTGAAGTGGGGTCACCTGCCAAAATACTTTTAGCTACAGCCTCTTCTGGTGTCTTTGTGTAATGTTGTGAATTGTAGAGTTTCTCTACAGAGTCACAATCTGAAACTATGTACCTGTAGCAAAAATCAAAATTTCAGTTAATGAACATTTTTGTTACCAACATTACCATTTTTTTACTTAAGATGAAAAGTATACCCATTTAATTTCCATTCACCCCGGATGACACCAGCTAGGAGATCCGGATCAGCACAAGTTGGCTTGCCATTAACCTGGTTGTATGAACACATCACACTTGCCACATTACCATCAAGAACACAGCTTTTGAATGGTGGTTGAAATGTATCATCCAAATCTTGCTTTGTCACCTAATAAGATATCGTAACCGAAATCAACACAGAAACAAACCTAATGACTTGACAATTGTGCCCCAAAATCAAAATAGTCTATTCAATTAGGCCTAAACTTACCACGGCATTGAAGTGGTACCTATCCGTCCCTTTCCAGTTTTCTAGATCATAGGCAGTATAGTGCTTGCAACATGCAGCAACCTTAAGCCAATTAGGATTACCAACATCACTCTGCTGCAGGCCTTTGACATATCCAGCTCCATATTTGCTGGACAACAAAGGGTCCTCCCCGGGGGTCTCCTGGCCTCTCCCCCATCTGGGATCACGGAATATGTTGATATTCGGAGACCAATATGTCAATCCTGCTAATCCGACATTGTACATTGCTCTCGCTTCCGTTGATACCACCTGTACATATAGGTCAATATAATTTAGTTGGATTAGGTAGCGTGATTAACTCCTTACAAGAAATCTTAAATGGTGAAAGAGTAAAAAGTCTTCAAAGTACTCAAAAGTCTTTATGCATGATTTGGTATACTGAAACATTTACATATTAACTTCTTTTCCTCAACAAACATATAAAATACTCATCAATTAATATATGGGGCAGTAATCCATTTTCCCAAATTTTGAAGCAAAGGAGAGTACCCATGATAAGAAAATTGGTTGATTAATAAAATTAAAGTTTATTTTTATCTTTTTCACAAAAAATATAATAAATATATATTTTAACTTGTATTTTAAGGATACTTGTTAAAAAAATTATTATTTTAAATGTTTATATTTTAGTTTTAGGATTTATCTAATTTGTACCCTTAAGATAGAGGTTAATGCTATAATTAATACATATTTTTTATATTAATAGTAATTTTATCACTAATATTACATGTATTATTTTAATTAAATAATTAACTAAATAAATATTAAAATTTATTTTTTTAATGATAATTAATATTAAAAAAATATTCTCAGGTCACATATTAAAAAGACCTTTAATTTTATTATTTTTCTAATAACAGGTTTGTTTTAATTAAAGGGAAATAATGGCAAAAAAAAAAAGAAACTAATAAAAAGAAACAATAGTCAACGATTTAATTAATTCAATGATTATCTTCATTCGTTGAAAGTAAGAGATCTTAAATTCTAATTATATAATATGTGAGTAAAATGAGATAAGAAATGAAAGATGATTATTTCTTATTATATAATCAAAATATAAAAAATAAATAAATAGAAACAATGATAGTAGAAATTTCTTCTACTATGTGACTACTTATACGGCATCATGTGGTACCATAGTGAAGTTTCGTCGACAAAATTGATGAAGTTGCGTGGGGTAGATAAAAATAAAATAATTTTAAAAGTTAATAAATGAGTTAAAAAAATAAAAAATTTAAATTAAAATAAAAAAATTAATAAATAATATATTAAATTAAGCCTTTAAACAAAACTAACTCACTCTTTTCTTTTCCTTCAATTCTCGTATCCCCTCCCTTCCCCTTTCCTCCATTTCCTTTCTTTTATTAATTTTTATCTAAATAAAAAAATGATACAATCTACTCTAAATAAAAAACAAAAAACTTGAAAATTCAGCTGAACTTAACAAGAGGGAACACTAACTTTACCCTTCCAATTGCTTCAAAGAGAGAAGCGTTGAAGGAAGCCGCCGTCAAGATGACCTGAGGAAAGCTGGTGGCACCGGGGACCACACTGGAGAAATGAGTACCGTGACCATGGTAAGACACGCCATGTAAAGCCTCCGACCACCACTCATACTTGGGAATCCCGAGCCTGTTAACACTCCCGGCAGCATTCACCAGAAACCCAATTTTCTCCTGCAATGTTAGCCTCTTAACCAAGTCAACGACCCTGTACTTGATCCCCAGCGTGGTGTTACAGAATCCGAAACTTCCCAAATTCGGGTTGCTCCGAACATCGCAAGCAAAAACAGGGGATGTCTGAGCCAAAACCCGGACACAGCTAAAACAGAAGATGAAACAGAGGAAAACAGAGACCCCCATTGCAAAAACAGGGGAGTTCATTTTGAGTGATATTAACATGATACAGAAGTTAAATTTTATAGAGGGAAAGGAGTTAAATAATATTATATGAGTAGATGCTGTGTTTTAGCAGGCCGTGATGGAAATGCATTAAATTGGGAGTTTGTTTCTTTGGCATGGAAAACTGAAACGGAGATCAGAGAAAGGGGAGAATCTGAAGTCAACTTATGGGGTCATGGGGAATAAAGATGTCAGTGAGTCCGTGAGGGGGGTTCGACATTTTGTAAACTGAGGTCTGAAGCTATGTTTTTATGTAGGGACTGTATGAACGTGAAGAAAGAGAAAGGAAGGAGCAGACAAGAGATGGGGCATGAGGGGATAAATTTAAGGTTAAATACCCTTTTTGGTCCCTCTATTATAGAAAAAGTTCCTTTTTGGTCCCTATACCGAAAAAATCCCTTTTTTGGTCCTTATTGTTCACAAATCTGGCCCCTTTTTGGTCATTCTGTTAATTTTTGCTTATGTGACACGTTAACTTAACGGGAACAGCTGATGTGGATATAATGATACCCTCCACGTCACCCTCCACATGTGGGAAAAAGAAAAAGAAAAGGTTAAATGCTAAATTTGATCCCTCAACTTTATAAGTTTGCATTTTTTTGATCCTTAGATTATTCTTTTCACTTTTTTGATCTTTTAAGTTTAAAAATTACACAATTTTGATTCTTTCGTCAGTTAAACATGACGTGGCAATTAAATAATTTCATTTGACATTTTTTTTTAATTTTTTTGATGACATGACAATTATATATATTATAATTATGTTATATAGATAAATAAAAATATCACGTAGATAA